CTCACCTGTGTGATTATACTGATAGGTAGTTCATGACACACTACAAATAATAACATGCTTTAGACCAACACATTATCACATGACATGTTACACAGTTGCTCGGTTTTGTTAAAGGAAAACTCCAGCGGTTTTCATTATCTCCATCTTATGCATATGTGGTGTGTGGTTGATCACCACAGACAGTTACAGGGAGGGAAAATAAGTATTCAGACACTTCTGTCAGTGCAATTATCCACAAATTTGCATGCAGAATGCCTACTGACTTTGCATATTGACGCCATTGAAACACACACACCTCTTAACACCTGCCCCACAGCGAGGTGGAAGCCAATGAGTGCGTTTACATGCACCCAATAATCCAATCATAATTGGATCTCTGCAGTTATCTGATTATTCAAATGGTCATGTAAACTGCACACTAAGGTCTAGAAATCCGATTAAGAAATCACATAAAGAGAGCTGGATTTTAGCTCTAATCAGATTTCTCAGTGCATGTGTACTCTTACTCTGAGTTCTTTCTGATTGCTGAGTCTGTGCATGTACGAAACAGGCTGCGGTACCGGAAATAAGCAAGCAGTGTTGCTGCGAGACACAGCAAAACGCTTTTGGAGCGACGCTGAAACCAACTACATGCTTGATAAAATAAAACATTTAGTTTTCTTCATCTTCTAGATGATGAAGGTTCATATTTTCAGGTAAAGTGGCGCGATGTTTTTAAAAAAAAACATGGCATGAAGTTTATTGGCTGGTTGCAAAGCAGAAATCCGATTACTGTCTGACTCATGCAGACCCTGGAGTTTCACATTATTTCTGATTACTCAAGTGCATAAAAAAGGAATTGATCGGATTACTGACAAAGTCTCATTTTCTCCAGTTATCGGATTATTAAGTGCATGTAAACGCACTCAGTGATGTGGTAGAAATTCTGGGGTGGCCAGTCGAAAGTGGTGGGGTAGAACTGGCCACGTTGGCCACCCGTTTAGTACCATGCATGTTAGTACATCATTAAAGGCAGTCAAAAGTGCACTCTTTTTGCAACTTGATGAATAAGGGCCATTAAGTGCAAATCGGATGTGGTTATGTACACTGGACAGGCTGGTATCTGAATACTTGTTTCCCCTCACTGTATTTAGAACAGGAAAAGAACAGGAAACCTGATAACTCAAAACACACTTGAAGCCAACAGGCAAATGCTTCTATTATAATATGGTTCAAGTCGAAGGGCTTTCTATTTCTATTACTAAGCCCCCTTACTATGAGGAAGTTACACTCACTGAAAAAAACTTCCTTTCAGGTCACTTGGGTGGAACCCTCAAGGACACGTCTTCAGTATCTTCAGTGTGGAAACATTATTGTGCTGTATTTTGTTACAGTTGTGCTTTTTAAGTTGCATTGACTCCACACACCCTGTATTGACTCCTGGCTTTACATTGTTTGTACCCTAAGGGGACTAACATTTACCCTGACTGCTCCTTTGTCCAACAGCGTACTAAGAGGAACATCCCGCTGGAGAGTGTGATATTACACAGTTTGCAGAATGTACTCAATTATTGCAAGGCCACTTAAAAAGTGTGTTGGGCTGGACAAATAACGTGGGTTATTTGTTGTTAACAAACAGCCAATAATTAGGAATTATGTGCTGCAGTAATAATTAAAAAATATGCAAACATATGTGTCTCTTTTGTAATTCCAGCATGGCAACGTCAACAGAGCTAAATTAACAGCCACAAGGTTAAACTGGTTTTCCCAGCACTCATTTAAATCAATACACCAGCATTTTGCCACCCAGTCTGTATCTGCTGCATGTGTCGTGACAAAACCTTGTATCTCCAAAATGCCACAGGAGGAGGTACAGGAGGAGGGAAAACATTGGGTTGAAGGAGATAACGAGAGGAGGGAATTTTGGGCTCTATACAGCCTCTGCGGGTCACTAGAAGGCCATGTGCAGGCGTGGATAAAGCGGAGGAGAAGGGGGGAGGAGGTGGGGTGCACAGTTTGTCACGAGAATGAGGAGTGGAGTACTGGTATTTTTAGGAAGCCGGAATTGAGAAGGAGGAGTTTCAGGCGTGGTCGTTCCTCAAACTTCAGTAATGCCGTAACTCAATTTAATGGGACAAGTCATTTTGGAATATTTCAATTGGTCCATTCATCGTAAATTTTTAACACACTGTAAGGCTGGCGTTTCATTTTCAACCAGACAAGACCCCAAAGCTCAGTTAATCTAAAACTACGTCTTTAATTTAATAAACAAGCAGCCTTGAAATAGAAGTACTGAAATGACTGGCTGTGTAGAAGCTCATCCTTTCTACAAAGCAGCTCCAAAAGCTGAGTAAATGAAGCCACACCTAGCATTATCTAACGAAGTTCCTCACCTTCACCAAACTTCACCAGCTCATTAAAACAATAAAATGCCAAGTTACAAGAGATTCTGTGATCCTGGATGAGCCCCAAAACATTCTATAGAAGAATGAAAAACGAAAGTGGAGATAAAATGTTTTGCCACAATTCACTTCAGCACCTGCACGTTGACTTCTGTTAGAATTGTATTGAGTTCAGAGGTTTTCTGTTCTTTTAATAGGTGCAGTAAATACAGACTACAGATACAGACTAGGTCGAATAATGTTATAGTGGTCCTTTAATACAGTTGATTATATACAGATATTGCTATGTCCTTGCTTGACCCATACCCCACTGCCCTTGCCTACCTCAGGCCATTGCCAGCGTTCAGCACTGACCCTGTTGACCTTGAGTGGGATGCTCTGGAGGAGCCACATTTGAGCCCAAGGTCACAATGCCCATGCATATAAAGTGCCCCAGCAATGGGCTGTATAGCAGCAGAGCTGTAGGAAGATGTTCTCTGAAAGCGTGTCAATTAATGGATTCTTCACACTGGGTCATTTAAATATCGGGTCAGAACACATTATATGAGGACTACATCAAAGATGATGCCATTCATTGTGCCAGTGATTACATAAATATATCCAAATTGTCTTGAAATCTATAGTAGTATTAGTTGGCGTAGTATCTTATTAAAGGATGATTCCTCCAATTTTTCAAAATTGCTGCGCAATTCAGTCGCTGAGATGAGTAAACAAAGTCATTCTGACTGGTTTGATGCGAAATGTCCATCGTAGGGAAACTTACCATCTTGGATTTTTTTTAAAGTGGTGGCTATAAGAACCAGGGGTCACAAATATATCCATTTTATTTACTAACCAAAATGACCAGTGAACCTACACGTGTCATCTGAGTTTTATATGCAATGTTGATGATGGTAAAATAGTGCTAAATCTGAATAAAGAGGTTTTTACAGAGCTATTTTGCCTTATAATGCACTGCATGTACCCGTCCACCATGACTACATTTTAAGTACGTACATTTAATGCCTCACTTCAAATCTATCATAAAACAGTGGCTCAGGCATTTGTAGCCATTTTGTGTAACAGGTTTCCATGAGGGAGCTTTATATAGACATTTAAGACTTAAGATGTCTGGTTTCTGTCACCACCACTGGGAACAATTCTGGCTTTTTGCTTTTTAAGAACGGAGCATTCCACATTCAACCACTCTGAATGACCTTGTTTACATCTTAACCATTTAATTATGCAGAAATCTGTGGAATTCTCCTGCAGTAAATGGGGACTGTGATATATTCCCTTTAGTAAAACAGTGCAATGATGGGCCTCATAGCGTTCATTTACAACTTGGTACATTTGTAAACATATGTACACATTACGAAAATGGCAGTAGTCACAGGGGTGAGCTCATATTTGTTTTCCCAGAGGTTGAAATTTTCCATCACAACGACAAAGTCGGAGCAGCGCCAGGCCGTGTATTACACGTGTCGGGCGCTAGATGTCGCCAAAGTTTCACAAAAAAACATACAAGCCACTGACGCTTTCCTCGTAGTGAGGTCATTTTACTGTTTTTTTTTATTAAAAAAGAATGATTTCCTTTGTGTATTAACTGTTTATGTTTATTTAATGATTCACGCATCGATATGGCTTTATAAACCTCCCCTGCTAGAAAAAAACACCATTAGAACCACTAGGATTAAAACCCGATGATTTTGCTTTCTAATGGGCACTGGTTTAATGGTTACTGTTAGAGACCACTAATTTCCTGTAAGTCACCTTTGGATCCCATTAGGAAACCATCAAATGCATCTGGAATCGGTCCCAGAACACCTGTTAAATCATTAGAGTCCTTTACACTGTGATATCACCCAACTAGGAAAACACAAAATACCATTAGAGACCAGGAACCACTTTGAATGGTTTTTATGATGATTTTTTTCGCAGGGTCCCCAAAATAAAAATGCAAATTGTAGAGCTAGAGCAGGCTGTTAAAGGGAAATTCCACCCATTTTTCCAATTTTTTGGCATAATTCCGTCATTGTGACGCAAGAAATTCATTTAGAGTGTAAAACAGTAAAATGTAAAATAGTTAATTTAGAGAAAGTTACAGAATCTGATTTCTGTACAGTGATGGTGATAAGAACCAGGGATCACAATCTCTACAAAGCAAATATAGCCAGTACATTTACTATTCCAAAACAACCAGTAAACCATTACGTGTCTTGTATTATTTTATATGTAATGTTTATAATGATGGAAAATTAAAATTAAGTTTCTTTGGAGACTTTTTTGCCTCACAACGCCCTGCATGTACCCCTCCGCCATGAACGATTAACATAAACGGAGTAACAAGACATTTTAGGCCATAACTTTTGAATGCCTCAGGCATCAGGCAGTGAATTCATAACCATTGTGTGTAATAACGTTCTGTGAGAGAGCTTTTCAGAGGTGGACGTCTGGTTCCTATCACCACCACTGTGAACAGTTCTGACCCGGCAAGTTTCTCTAGAACGGAGCGTTTCACACCAAACCACTCTGAACGACTACGTTTACGTTTCAGCCGTTTAATCGTGTGGACGTTTTGAAGAATTGGTGGAGTTCCCCTTTAAACTGTAGACGTGAGCTGTAACACTTCACAGCCCTGTGTGAACGGCGACAGGGCGCTGAGTAAAGATGATCGAGCTCCTCCGCGCCGTGTAACAGGCTGCTGCTGCTTCGTAACACAAGGAGTGAACTTTGGATGGTACACGCCCAAGAAAAAAAGAGAGACAGGAACACAAACTTCCTCAGGGGAGCGGAGCAGACGTGCGTCCTCGATGCTTTCGCTTGGGAGAGAAGCGCCGAGATGCAGTGCATAAGAAAGCAAACAAGCAGGAGCAAGTCGGAGGAATTACTGCATCAAGCCCAGAGCCAGAGAGTGGCAAGTCTGAACTCGAAGCTGCTGGGTAGGATCATCATTTTCACCTTTTCAGCCTTTGGCGTCGTCTTTCGGCATCAACCAGTTCTGCGCGGTGTTTTGGTTCTGGTGGAATCACGTTCGGCAGCTGCTTGTTTTCTTAAAGGGGAATTCCACCGACTTTGCTAAACATCTGGATCATTGAGTGGTTGTGACGTAAAGTAAGTCAGGGTTGTTTGGTGTGGTTGTGCTTCATTGTGGATAAAATTAATGATGTCATTACAGTGGTGGTGATGGTAACCAGGGGTCACAGTGACTACACTGTATAGAGTATTCTGAGCTTTGATATGTAATGATGATAAAGGTAAATGGGGGGCGTGTCATTAGGTAGCCCTGTGATGGACTGGCCACCTGTCCAGGGTGTATCCTGCCTTCCATCCAATGTCAGCTGGGATAGGCTCCAGCACCCCACCGCGACCCAGAAGGATAAGCGGTTTAGATGATGTGTGTGTGTGTGTGTGTGTGTGTGTTTGTGTGTGTTTGTGTGTGTGTGTGTGTGTTGGGTAGGGATGGGCAGTTTGACAGTTTTTAATTAATTAACTAAAATAACATCACAATATGCTTTTCTGAGCATATTGTGGTACTTAAATCACTTCCCAAGTATATGTAATTACAAAAAAAGCACCATTTGAACTGTTTCATTGGATTCAGTGCAGTGCAGTATGTTAAATACTGAATATGAGTCATTGTATTCATAGTTTTAATTAGTCATTTTTAAATGTAGCACTACTTTTGTCTTTTCCAATTTATCAATTATCAGAAAGAAAATACATATCTTGACATATTGTGTCATGAAAACGTCTTGAAGTATGGATTTAAAAATGTAGATGTCATTTAAAAAAAATATATGTAAATATAACTTAAAAGAACTAACATAAAACTATCATAAAACTTATAATAAAAAATGTCTCTGGCATCATGCAGCATATTCATAACCATTTCATGTAATATCTTTATGTGAGGGAATGTTTAGAAGCATGAAACACTTTAGATGTTCCTATCACCACCACTGTGACCAGTTCTGAGACTCTTTATAATGAAGCGTCTCACATCATGCAGCCCTGAATTGGCTTTGCTTATATCTTAACCATTCAGTTGTTCAGACATTTTGAAACATCTGTGAAATTTTCCTTTAATACAGTGTCAGTGATGCTAGTAATTCAAAGTCACACAGGTTTACTTGGCTTTGTCATGCGAAAGCAGGAAAAAGTGCTGCTCGTGTGACAAAAAAAATTCAAGCGAATCTCCATATAAATAATGAATGTGTCCTTGGTTTTGGTTTCAAGTTGCTGTGGTGGGGTTAGTAAAGCTGTCTTGCACTGTTCTTGCTGTTATTGCGCCATAAAAACATCCGGACTGGTACAGATTGAATGATGTAGCATGATGGTGCAAGTGCATCTCCAGGAAATTGATGGGTAGAAGAGACCTGCCCCTGCCAACTGTAAGTGTAATACTACAGAGTTCCAGACTGCACAAAAACTGTGCGTTGGGTGGTGTAATAAAAAGAGTTTTCATGGCTGATCAGCTAAACCTAAGCCAAAGATCACTATGTGCAATGCCAAGTGTTGGCTGGAGTGGTGTAAAACATGCCACTTCTGGACTCTGGAGCAGTGAATGCGTATTCTCTGGAGTCATGAATCATGCTGCCATGAATCTGGTTTTGGTGGATGCCAGGAGAACGCTACGTACCAGAATGCATAGTGCAATCAGTAAAGGAGGGATAATGGGCTGGGGTTGTTTTTCAGGCCCCTTAGTTCCAGTGAAGAGTGATGGGAATTGCTAACGCATAAAAACCCATTTCGGACAATTATGTGCTTTCAACTATGTGGCAGCAGTTTGGGGAAGGTCCATTCCTGTTCCAGCATAACTGTGCTTCTGTGCACAAAGTGAGCTCTGTAAAGACAAGGTTTGACTAGTTCGGTGAGGAGGAACTCCAGTGGCGTGCACAGAGCCCTGACCTCAACCCCACTAAACACCTTTAAGATGAACTGGAGTGTCAATTGCAAGCTAGACCTTCTCTTCCAACATCAGTGTCTGACCTCACTAATGCTCTTTTGACTGAACGGGCCTAAAATCCTACAGACACACTCCAAAATTTTGTGGAAGGCCTTTCAGAAGACTGGAGGCTGTTATAGCTGCAAGGAGGGCCAACTCCACATTAAAGTGCATGGTTTTGGAATCAGACATCCAGCAAGCCTGTATAGGTGGGATGCTCAGGTGTCCATATACTTTTGGCCATATAGTGTGTTTATTTTGGATGTATTTCATATTTATTTTCTTTGAAAAAAATGTTCTAGTCTGTGCACATGTCTGATCTGTTTAGTGGATGCGTGCAGTCGAGTGCAAAAGTTTGGGCGCCCCGTCTAATTCCATGATTCGTTGATTTTCTGTGTGAAAAGCAGAGAGCACACTTCTGCACGTTTGTATGCAGAATTAATAGTTTACTTGCTGAATTTAACATATTGGGGTAAAATGAAACACAAAATATGACCTGTGCAAATGTCACGGCACAAACTCCCAATATGTTAAACTGAGCAAATAAATGGAAATTGTGGACTGAAATGCAGAAAAAGCCATATTTAAGTTTTTCCCCCTGTAGACGATGTGTAAACTACTCTGTGCTCCTACCATATTTTATGAATTACAACCAGCCAGATTGCTGATATGTGGTGGAGTATCTAATTGTTTCTAGAGATTGAATCTTCAGACACACACCAGGCGGGAGATATGTGGGAGGGCTATGAATTCAATAGGTGGGGCATTATTGCGTCAGCTGAATTTTATATGTTAAAAAAACTTCACCCTAACGTGAGTGCACATGGGTCTTTGTTACATTTCAAATATTATTTTTCATTACAGTTAAACAGTCCTGATATTTGGGGTTGTTGCAGCCCCCTCAACACCCCTCCACATACCTGGTTATGTAAAATAAAATTCTACAGCACCAAAGAGAGGCATGAAATAGTAGGTTACTTTCTTTACAAAGTGCTTGAGGAAAAGAACTGTTTATTGGAAAAAAGTAAAAACGTCAAAAAATGTAACTACAGCAGATGAAACTGAGTAAATGGAACCAGTGTAAACAAAGTCATTCAGAGTGGTTTGGTGTGAAATGCTCCGTTCTAGAGAAACAGATTCAGAATGGTTCACAGTGGTGGTGATAGGAACACCACCGGCACAGTTTAATACATTTAAAAACTCCCTCACAGAAAGCTATCTCAAGAAATGGTTATGAATATGCCTTCTGATGCCTGAGGCATTGTTTTACAATAGTTTTGCAACAAAGTTTTAACTGAAATGTATTTTCACACTGCATGCCAGGTGAAGAGGTACATGCAGGGTGTTGTGAGGCAAAGTAGTCCCCAAAAAAACACTACATTTTCAGATTTACCACTATTTTGTCATCATGAGCATTACATTAACAGGCTCATTACATTAACAGGCTCAGAAAACTCATGTAGGTTCACTGGCAGTTTTGGATAGCAAATAAAATGACTGTATTTGCGTCGTCAACATTGACTCCTGGATCCTTTCACCTCCAATGTAAAGAAATCCAAGTTGTTAAGTTTGTCTACAGTGAACCACTCTGAAAGACTGTGTTTAGCATCTTGAATTATGCAGTTTGAAAAAACTGGTGGAATTCCCCTGGAATAGCCACCAACCCTGCCCCTCAGACAGCTCATCTCTAAGAGAAGGATGGAGAATGATTGCAGGGTAAGTTGAAAAGGACTCTAACTTATCCCATCTCATGCCTCTTTCCTGGCTCTAGGCATGGAGGATGATCCGGATCTGCAGTTTCTGCTGAGCGGCGCGGGGCTTGTGAAAGTTCGTTCCAGCTCGTGGAAGAAGACGCGCTTCTACAAGCTGCAGGAGGACTGCAAGACTATGTGGCACGAGTCCAAAAAGACCCTGCGCTCCAAGCAAACATGTGAGTTGAACCCACATGTAGGTGTGTCTGTATGTACTGAGTTGCCTATTTGGTGCCACTCAATGGCCGTTTTATCAGAAACACCAACCATATAGGTGCACTTCATTATTATAGAGTTACTGACCACAGTTACTGACTATAGTTGGAAAGAGTTTCTTTGGAAAGAGACCACCATAGGACCACTGCTGACTAGACAGAATTTAAGTTAATTTCTTATAGCAATAGCTCTTACTATTCCTTTGTGTTGTTTTTCTTTTTATTGTTTTATGAACAAAATAATGATTAGTATCCTGCTTGGCAAGACAGACACATAGGTCAGTTAGATTAGATGATTAGATTAGATTAGAGGTCATGGCTTATCTGTGCCATGCTTAAATTCTGTATTATGAGATTTATTACATACATAATACATGCATATTGTTATATGGATCATTCTACCAAATTGGTTTAAAGTCAGAGTTGACACATTTGGGACTTGTAACTGACTTGGACCTGGAATCCTTTTAGCTTTGAGTGACCCTATACCTTAATTATGTTTATTTTATTAAAACGAAACCACTGAACATCCTATTTTGTCACAGTCTTAACATTACCGACACTTTACCAAATGTTTCAGTAGTGACTGTCTTGGTAGTGAAAATTTTAGCTCATTTTAAAGCAGAACTGAAAAACGCTAGCCAGTACATGATAAGCAAACACAGCTTTGAACAATTATATGCATAAAATCATGGTATTTTTCATTAAACACAAAAGAAGTTACCTAATTCCAGAAATAGGTGTTTCTGTAGTGACAGTTCTTAAAGCTACGCCCTGATTTTCAGACTTTGGGATACATTTGCTTCAAAACAATGGGATGCAGCTGCTCACCATGTGGCCATGAGGGACAGGGATGCAGACTGACTTCCTGCTCTAAAATGCAGGGGTGTGGCTAAAATAAGACTCCGCCCATGGAATATAACTGTTGTGCTTCGGTAGTGACATGCATTTTTAAAATAAAGTGTTCTTATTTCAAAATTAAACTTCACTTAAAATGAATAAAAGATGTGAGTATTATGTTCAGAAGTGTAAATGTGGGGTTTAGGGTTTAGGACAGACGCCTCCCAGTAGAAAGTACCCTTTAAAATATACCCATAATATTCTGTATGTATCTGAATTAATGCCTTGCGTTTAAATAGATCATAACATAATCCTTTTTCATATCTATAATCTGAATCCTTAATTGTTTTTTTAAATATATATTTTTTTTACTGTGGGACCACAGTTTGAACTAATTTGGTAGAGTAGACCATATAACTAGTATTTTGGCTCATATTAATTATAGGTTTGTTTTATTCGCTTGATCACATCTCTGTGAAGCTAACTTTTTTTTTCTTAATCACAAATCACAAGCTAAGTGTCAAGCAAGAAAACATGATAGTTGCCATAGCGATATGGTTTTATTGCTTTAATATGTGATAACGCAGTGAGGCAAACTACTCTACTGTACTTTGCTATTTTGCTTTATGCGGGTGATGACAGCTTTTTAAAAAATAATATCCTTTAAAAGGGGAATTTTGCCAATTTTTCAAAATTGCTGCATAAATTATTTGTTGAGATGTAAACAGAGTCAGATTGGTTTGTAAATTCATTGTGAAGAAACCCAGTTTTTTTACAGTGGTGGTAATAGGAACCAAGGGTCATGATGTGTACAACACAAATATAGCCATTTTATTTACTGTCAAAAATGACTAATGGATCTACACACGTCTTCTGAGTTTATATGTAAGTTTGATAATGGTAAAATTGTGAGAAAGTACTGTTTTGCCTCATACAGCCAGCACCCTGCATGTGCCTCTTCTTTGCTCAAAACCTTTTTCGATTGTAAAAAAAAGGCAGCAGGCACTTTTCATGTAATAACTGTGTGATGGAGCTTTTAAAGGACATCTGGTTCCTGTCACTTCCACTGTGAGCAGTTCTGACTCAGTAAGTCAAACCAAACTTTGTGTAGATATGAAGACAAAAATGCACAATCCACATCTTTAATTTGGTGGTTAAAAGTTACCGGATACATTTAGAAAATCTCAGACTAAGTGTAGTGTTTACGCTATAAATCACATGACATCAGTGTGAAAATGACTTGTGCTTTATTACATTTGATCAAAGTTCACAATTGGCATGTTTGCTTGGCCTGCAGGAGCACCATCTGGAGAGCTTGATTCCAGTCCTGATCAAGCATATTTTAGCTCTGTGACTTCAATGATCTAATTGTATTGGATTAGGATTCTTCAGGAAATGATTCATTGCATCATGAAACCTCAGATTTCACCCCAAGTCAGTTTGATTTGATTGACTGTAAATATTTTGTATAAAATGTCATTTACTGCCTAAAAGCTTGTTAGGAGTTTCTGATTTCTTTACAGTTTGCATCTTGTATTCTGAAGTTTACTGTATTTCTAAATTATTTAATACACATCGAAAATATATTTTTCTTTGGGGTGGAGAATAATGTAACAAAAAGACTCTGTAAAATGAACTGCTCATGTAAAAAGGAAAGCTAATTAGCAAGAAATGTAATGAATTCTGGGAAGGCCCATCTCAGTCTCTACATTATTACATAAAAAAGTTTGGAAAGCAGGTTAAATGCCAGTAAAAGCAGAAACAGTGATTTGTAAACTGTCTTTACAGGTATTTATTGAAGACAGAACATAGAAGATACATATTTAATATTTTACCTTGTCAACTCTGCTGATTTTTGTAAATATATGCTAATTCCAAATTTATTACCTGCAATACCTTCCAAAGACGTTGGCACAGGGGCAGTGTAAAACTGTGAAGTTTGTGGTGAGTGAATAGTCTAACAGAGCAACGGAGTAATCTCTGTGCGTAAATGGCAAGATCAAAAACCAATATCGAATGCCCATGACCTTTGATCCCTGCATCAAAAACCGAGCCCATATAGTAAACATGGGATTTCGGGAGTAGTTTAGAAAATCCCTGGCAGTAAACATAGTTTGTTGCTGCATCTACAAATCCCAAGTTAAGACTCTGCTACGTGACACAGAAGTCATGTATCAACAACATTTAGAAACGCTGCTGACTTCTCTGGGCTTAAGCTCATCTGAGATGGACTGACGCAAAGTAGAAATGTGTGTTGTGGTCTGACAAGACCACATTGTTTTTGGAAAGAATAGACATTGTGTTCTGCAGGTCAACAAAGAAAAGAAACATCCTGAATGTTACCAAAACAAAATTTGTAAGTCAGCACCTGTCATGGTGTGGGGGTGTTAGTGGGTAACATGCACATCTGTGAAGATACCATTAATACTGTTGGGGACATTTTGGAGAAACATATTCTGCCATCTAAACGACGTCTTTTTCAAGGATGTCCCTGTTTGTTTCAGCAAGACAACGCCAAGCCACATTCTGCACATGTTGCAACAGCTTCATAGTAAGACAGCAAGTCCAGACCTGTCTCCCTATAAAAACATGTTGCGCGTTATGAAGCACAATATACAACAAACAACTGTTGAAAAGCAGAAATGTTATATTCAAGCAAGAATGGGAAAAAATTCCACTTTCACAACTACAACAATTGGAGTCCTGAGTTCCCAAATGATTACTGAATGCTGTTAAAAGGAAATGGGATGTAATGCAGAGGTAAAAATGCCTCTGTTCAAACCTTTTCGACCATGTTGCAGGCAATAAATCAGAATAAGTGTATATATTGAAAATACAAGTTAATTAGTTGAAACATTAAATATCTTGTATCTGTCAATTGAATACAGGTCAAAAATGATTTGTAAATCACTGCTGCCTGTACTTATTTACATTTTTCTTACCATCCCAACTTTTTTGGAATTGGGTTTGTAGACTGATTAAAACTATTGGTTCCTTCCCCAACATGCAAATAATAACTAACTACTGTACAATCTAACGTTTTAGTTTCTTTGACTTCTTTGAAGCTTGATCTGTATCTCCCACACAGTGCTATTTTTGTATATTACTGCCATGTTTCTACCGCAAATTTACAGTACTGGGTTATTTTGGTACAATTCAGAATTTCATTTAAAAATAATGCATAATAGTGACTGTGGGAAGTATTTACCTAGTAGTGGAATATAGACAATAAGCATAATACACTATGTTTTATGTTGTTAGCACGTTTATTTTCAAGAAACCTCTTATTTTAATTACACCGAACCAACACTCCAAAATTTATGCAGTTGATTCACACTGTTCAGATCAGTGCAACACATTGCATTGGTGGATGTTTACAGCTGTAATCTTGCATGAACGATAGTTATTCTCATCTGCTTTACCCAGTTTCCGTTGAAGATATTGACTCGGTGCGGTCCGGCCGTCAGACCGAGGGTCTCAAGAAGTACACAGAAGAGGCACTGGAGCCGCAGGTCTTCTCCATCCTGTTCAAAGGCCGCCGCAAAAACCTGGACCTGATTGCCAGTTCGGAGGAGGAGGCCAAGCACTGGGTCTCTGGCCTGGAGAAAATCATCTCCAATATGAGTAACCTCAGTCAGCGGAGTAAAACCGAACAGTATCCTTATTCTTACCACCTTCTGTGGAACAGAAATGCATTTGTTTACGGTTGTGGTACACGGACGTTATAACAATTGTCTTATTGTTTGTTTACAGCATTTGCAGCATTTTATGACAATTTACCATGAGCTGGATGAGGGGGGTACCCTTTGTATTGTGCCTATGGTGTAACTGATCCTTTTAACCCTTTAAACTCCAGGCTTATTATTCTGTTATTAACCTTAATGCTTACTGCCCAGTAACTACTATGACTTATATAATAACTGCTATGAAACTAATATAAGTTACCAGTCATTTTAAGAGGTTCTCATAATATCACATTTATTTTAAAGCTTTGCAACGTAATGTATGTTCTGTAATGCGGATGCCCCTTACATCAGAGCATTAGCTGGATATTGAACTGCTTGCGGAAAGCTGATATAAACTGTGACAACAAGATGAGTCCACAAGAACTGAAGAACTTCCTGCATGACATCAATATAGAGGTGGACGACGAATATGTCAAGATGCTGATTGAGGTGCTATTTCCTTCACATTAACTAAAAGTGAAACCACTTAACCTCCATTCAGTGAATCAGTACACAGCATGCTACAGTCACTTTGGTGTGGGGGAACACCCAAGGTCTTCGGAGGAGGCCTGTTGTTTTCTAGCACCTAAAAAATACATGTCTTTAATTTGAAAATGCATTTTTTGTGGCATCATTAAGTTTGTTGTATTTAATCCTACAAGTATTGTAGTAATACTCTGATTTCATGGTTAAAATCCAGTTAATCTATCAGGAATATTATTCCCATGGTATCTAGCCAAGCTCACTCTCCCATCATGCTTTTTGTTTACAATAGGTGGGACCAAGTTTGTGAGAAACGATATTACTCCAGGTCTGGAAGACCTAGATATGTCACCGACTGTGAATACAAGCCATGATCTAACTGGTTTAATTGAATGAAATCAAAAAAACTTGTGGATGTTCTTTACCAGGTCTCTTTACTGAAGGAGTAAAACTCCTTTACTCCTCATTGTGTGTGTTTACATGTACTCAATAATCTGATAATAATCAGATTTCTGTAGTTATCTGATTATTCAAATGGTCGTGTAAACAGCTCAGTAGATTGGAGTAAGGACTAGAAAATCTGATTAAGAAATTCGATAAAGAGAGCAGGATATTAGCTCAGTAATCGGATTTTTTGGCGCATGTAAACTCTTACTCTGATTTCTTTCAGATTTGCATGTGTGTAACAACAGACCGCGGTACCGGAAATAAGCGAGCAGTGTTGCCGTAAGATATATGCTAGACGAAATTAAGGACTTAATTATTATTCATCTTCTAGATGATGTATGTTTATATTTTCAGGCAAAGTGATGCGACGTTTTTAAAGGAAAGCCGCAGCATAAAGTTTGAGTTTTACATTATGTTTCATCTTCTTCTGTGAGTTTATTGGCCGGTTGCAAAGCAGACATCCGATTATTGTCTGGCGCATGTAGGTGGCATGGTGGGCAGTGCTGTTGCCCCTGCAGCAAGAAGGGCCTGGGTTCAATTCCTTGTCAGGCATCCAGGGTTCTTTCTGTGGGAAGTTTGTATGTTCTGTCTGTGTGGGTTTCCTCCGGGTGCTCCGGTTCCCTCTTACTGTCCAAAAACATGCAGTCAGGTGAACTGTAGATGCTGATTTGTGTGTTTGTGCATTTCATTATTTCAGATCATTTTCAGACAAAAATCAATGAATTGGTGACAAGTGGCTTGAAATTTACACAAAGAAAGGAAGCCACTTTGAAGTTTTTTAAGATAAACTGACAAATGCTGATAGTCCATTTTCACCTTAGGTAATGTTAGCGCCATAGTCACATCTGAACTTATTTCACCTTGTAATATTTGGTCCAAAAACAGTGAATTTGAGAAGATACCAAAAAGTGTGGAATTCTCTGAATACTGTTTAAAGTTTTACTCTGTTAAATCTATACGAAAAGCATAAAATGAACGCTTTTAGCTGTGCTATAGCTGCGCTTGAAGCTCTCGACTATGCGACTCGGAATGATGCTTCTTGTCTGGTGTGCAGTAGCCTTTAGATGGCTGCAGTAGTCAAATAGAAAAACTCTGACCACAAGTTAAGTGTTACACTGCCCTTTGGTGGAGTATAGAGTTCAGACATCTAATAGTTGTTAAACATGAGAACATATAACGTCAACGAGCATCGTGTGATTGGGGGGTGACTTTGCTAGTGGGTGAAATTGAAACTGGGGGAAAAGATGGCAAAAATATTCTAGCATGTTCAAGAAATGTTTTGGCATGTTAGTTTTGGTTATGTTAGTTATGTGCTCTCGCATTTAATGTACTTGGTTCATTTTGCTATGGACTCTTGTTGTAGAGGGTGGAGCTAGGAACCAGCTGAGCTGGGCTAGAGTCCGAGATATTAGGCAAAAACGCTTATGTGTGGCGTGGCTGTGGCCGACAACTGCTGGAAAATAAAACGCCATGGTTTGTGCAAATGCAGTGTCTCTTTTAATAGTGATGAACAAAGTATGTTAATGTGCACCACCTTTACGTGTTAGCATAAATTAGCATTATTTGTTTTTTTCTTGTTTTTAACCATGTTTTGACATTTACAGGCCACATTGATGACCTCTCTCGTTTCTGCACTGCTTTTGTGTAGCTGGAGCTGCTCATGTTTGTGTGTCTTTGTCCCTGCAGAAATGTGACCAGTCCAAATGTGGCTCTCTGGAGGGAGAGGAAATTAAGCATTTCTATGAGATCCTGACCCAGAGGGAAGAGATTGATGTGGTTTATGGAGAGTACGCGAAGACAGAGGGACTGATGAGTGCTGCCAACCTGCTGGACTTCCTGCAGAAGGAGCAGAGAGAGCAGGTGGATCTGTCTTATGCCGCTCAGCTGATCGAGAAATACGAAGTGGATGAAACAGGTCACTATTCACATTCAATAATGTGTCCACTTTTTAAAGCCTCTCTAATAATCTAGCAGACCTGACAGCTGTGTGTCCAAAAGTTGCAGACACCTGCTTATCCAGTGTCTCTTCTGAAATCAACAGTGTTAATAGGGAGTTTGTCCCCCTTTGCTGCAGTAACAGCATCTACTCTTCTGAGAAGGCTTTACACTAGATGCTGGACCATTACTGTGATGATTTGATTGCATTAAGCCAAAAGAGCATTAGTGAGGTCAGGTACTGATGTTGGATGGTCAGTTCTGGATCACAACTCATAAGCAGGTAGTAGGTAGTAGGTTGTAGGTATTGGATGGAGATTCATCACTCCAGAGAATGTAGTTGCATTGCTCCACAGCCCAATGCTGGGGGGGGCTTTATACCCCTCTAGCTGGCACTTGGCATTGGGCATGGATACCTTAGGTTCATGTGTTGCTGCTCCAGAGCACCCCATTCTATTGATAGTGCTTTTCTCTGGAGATTATACAAGCTATACGTGAGAAACTGAACGCCTGTGTCAGCAGTGGGTGCACTTTAAAGGAGCTGTGTTCACCAATTAAAAAGGTCTGGATACTTTTGGACATATAGGGTACAGCCTGTGCAAAATTCAGAGACCAACCTTTTGTTTATTGAATATTTAGTAAAAAAGTACAAGTGCGAAAAAGCACAATTCATTTATTGGCATCAGGTAAAAAGCAGAAACCGTGTATTTAACAGAAAACAACACTGAAGCCAGTATTTAGTGCGTCCACCATTTGCCTTTATTGCAGATTTTAGATCTGAAGCAAGAATAGAGCTTGATTTGCTCCTTTTTCTCGAAGATAAAAGCTTTAAGTGCTGTTTATCTGATGGGGACAGTTTTGGTTGTCTACCAGGCCATTACACTGTATCTTAGTGTAATAAATGTGAATGTGTAAGAAGATATATCTATGTCTTATACTCTGACAGGCTGGTGGTAGTTCTTTGGCCCACATTTAAACTGAGGCTTTGCACACATGCATTTATTTGTCTTGACTCCACCTCGACAGCCAAAGCAAAGCAACAGATGACGAAGGATGGCTTTCTGATGTACCTGCACCAGCCTGAGGGTCTGATCATGAACCCAGCCCATAAACGTGTGTACCAGGATATGAAACAGCCGTTAAACCAGTACTTTATCTCTTCCTCTCATAACACCTACCTGCTGGAGGACCAGCTCAAAGGCCCCAGTAGCACTGAAGCCTATATACGGTAAGGTTATACTTAAAGGGCGATTCCACCAGTTTTTCAAAATTTCTGCAAAGTTGGATCATCGTGATGTAAACAAGACAATTCAGAGTGGTCTGATGTGAAGTGGTTCATAGAAAATTAACCCACTCTGATTTCTGTACAGTGTTGGTAATAGGAGCCAGGGGTTGCAGCATCTGCAGCGCAAATATTATTTGTTATTTAAAACAACCAGTGAACATACATGTGTCTTCTGAGTTTTTAATCAAATGTTGATAATGGTAAAATGAGATAAATCTGGTAAAATATGTTTTCTTTTGAGACTATTTTGCCATTATAAAACAATGCCTAAGGCATCAGCTGGCGTATTTGTAACCATTGCATGTAATTTCTGTGTGGCATCATATAAAGCAGGGGTGTCCAGTCTTACCCGCAGAGGGTCGGTGTGGCTGCAGGTTTTCACTCACCTGATGAAATGTTTGAAGATGAAGACCAAATGATTAAACGAGTAGAATCAGGTGTGCTCCAGCTTGTTTGGAGTTAACACCTGCAACCACACCAGCCTTTTGCAGATAAGACTGGACACCTCTCATGTACATGCATTAAACACTTTAGATGTCTGGTTCCTATCTGGTTCCTATTTCTGTAAGTTTTACTAGAACATAGAACTTCACATCAAACCACTCTGAATTACTTTGTTTACTTTGCTAGTTTGTTAATCGTTTAATTGTGCAGAAATTTAAAAACATGGGTGGAATTCCCCTTTACGTTTAGTGTATGTCATAACAGCTTGTTGACCAGTAGCGTACAGTTACTGCAGACTCTGATTTCTCTGTACTTAAAAAACAGAAGAGAACAGAAAACCTGTCGACTCAAAGCTCACTGATAATACAAGCCAGTGGGCACTGAGTTCATCGGCCCATTGATTTCTGTTATAACAGTGTCTTAAATAATTGGGTTTCTGTTCTTTTCTTTTCGTGTCATGACTGAGCTGTTATGTCCTCCTAACAGAGCCCTGATGAAGAGCTGCCGCTGTGTGGAGTTGGACATCTGGGACGGTTCTGACGGAGAGCCAGTTATATACCACGGCTACACGCTCACCTCCAAGATCCTCTTCAAAGATGCCATCAAAGCCATCAAGGAGTATGCCTTTAAGGTAGTTCTTCTCTCATCTCAGGAACATTTCTACCAAGCATTTAAGTGGGGTTCACACAAGTGTATGGAGAAATGTAGAGTTAGACTTTAACCAATAAAAGTCTAGAGCCTAGAACCTTCTTGTTTCTACACTCATTGTCCATTTTATCAGCTCCTCTTACTAAAGGAGCACTTTGTAGTTCTACAATTACAGACTGTAGTCCATCTGTTTCTCTGCATACTTTGTTGCCCTGTTCTTCAGTGGTCAGGACCCCCACAGAGCAGGTAGTATTTGGGTGGTGGATCATTCTCAGCACTGCAGTAACACTGACGTGGTGGTGGTGTGTTGTGCTGGTGCGAGTGGATCAGACACAGCAGTGCTGCTGGAGAGGTAACACTGTGTCCACTCACTGTCCACTCTATTAGCCACTTGTACCTTGTTGGTCCACCTTGTAGATGTAAAGTCAGAGACAGTAGCTGATCTGTTGCTGCACAGTTTGTGTTGGTCATCCTCTAGTCCTTCAGCAGTGGTCACAGGACGCTGCCCACAGGACGCTGTTGGCTGGACATTTTTGGTTGGTGGACTATTCTCAGTCCAGCAGTGACACTGAGGTGTTTAAAAACTCCAGCAGCACTGCTGTGTCTGATCAACTTCTGTGTCCGGTCCAACACAACACACACTAACACAAGACCACGCTTACCTGCTCTGTGGGGGTCCTGGCTATTAAAGAACAGGGTAAAAGGGGGCTAACAAAGTATGCAGAGAAACAGATGGACTACAGTCTGTAATTGCAGAACTACACAGTGCTCCTTTATGGTAAGTGGAGCTGATAAAATGGACAATGAGTGTAGGAAACAAGGAAGGCATACCCAAAAAAGTGGTCAGTGAGTTTACGTTATTACATGTGTAATTAATTATATTCATTTTACATTCTGCGGTTGTAGTCTGCACTTCTGACAATGAAATCATGTAAATGGGTCATTCTAGTAATGAGGTGGCAAATAGGGTACAAATGTAATTGAAGGGTAAAGTGTGTGTTACACCACTGATGGTAACACCGCTGACAAAAATACAGAAAATCTGAGCTTTTCTAAAATACACTTCACAGCCACTTTAGTTCCAAAGTCATATTGTCTGTTGAAAATTACAAATACTACATTCATATTCATTTTATTTCAGTTTTTAAAATGACTTAATGTTTCACGAGTAGCACCACTGACACAATCTTTTTGCCTGATTTAGCAGAAATATAAAAAAAAAAAACATTTCACTAACTGAGAACTTCTTAGTTGGTCTTTCTTCCATTGAGTTATCCATACAAAAGTAATTCAAAAAAAGACCTTCCTGTCTTTATTTGACTGACATTTTTATATTTCTGTAACACCACTGAGAAAAAATCTTGGGAAAAGAGTGAGCAAAATAAAATTGTATTTATATCTTAAAAAGGACAGATAATAAATTTAATGCATTTTAATTTTATCTTAGTATAGACAGTACTTTAATGCTGTGACATGCTCGTTTTCAAATGAAAAAAAAAAAATCACAAAAAAATTAAAAATCAGTAAAATAAAATTTTAAAAAGAAGAATTATCATAGTTTTCTGCTGGTTAATTTAGGAATAGGACACAGAATCCACAGACAACGTTCTGTAGTTTATTTTTGTTTTGATCCCGTTTTCATGGCTTCAAAGTTGCAGGATAACTTCGGCCACCTCAAAGACAGAATGACCCCAAGATGTTTTTTCTACAAGACTGTACACACATTAACTTTTCAGCAATTTCAAATGCTAATAGAATATGTCCTCTTCTGCCTCCAAACATAAATGTGATACTGATTAAACGTTTACATTCTGCCATTTCCATAGAATTTTTAAATAATTACATACGATTAATATATTATAAATAATATTTAAAAATATAACATTACAACATGCTTTAGTTATCTTCAGCAGAAATTGAGACTGGAAGTTCAAATAGAATACATAGGCCTGGTTTGACCAGCCTAATGGTTGAGGCCATTCTGTCAGCAGATCTAAAGAGTAAACCAGACTGTTTTCTGTAGAACAGCAACAATGACAGACTGTTTCTGTTTCTCCTCAGACGTCAGAGTATCCAGTGATCCTGTCCTTGGAGAACCACTGCAGTGTGGAGCAGCAGAAGCTGATGGCCCACCACATGACCTCCATTCTGGGCAGTGCTCTAGTAACCAAACCCCTAGGAGAGCACATGCCTACGGAGCTCCCCTCTCCAGAGGTGACTTACAGCTCAGAGCACAAAGCATTTAACCCACTGTTATTGCGGGTGATGATTGAAGCATGTTGTAATTTTAGTTATTTCTTACCTGTAGCTTATAGAAATTCTGTTGAAAGTGCAGATTGTGAACTTTTAGTCCTTTCTGTGTTTGTGTTTGGAAGCAGAAGAGCAGATATTTTATTATGATTTGACCGGATGAAAAGTTATTGCTGTGCATACAGCACAAAAAAAGAAGGAACATTTTTTACATTATGTTTTAAGAATGAAAATGAAAGCGGATGGATAATTTCAGAAGAAGATTCGAAGCCTCTAATGCAGAATAGAAATTCTGTAAAAGTAATTATTAACTATGTAAATAATTGTGTAATAATTTCATTATATATAATTAATATAGCAAAACAACAATAATAATTTAAGGCTTCTAAGAAACAGTCTGACCATGTCTGACTAACAGCATTAACATTGCTGATAGTGAATAAAAGCTCATGACCACCACATTAAATTATGCAAATAAGATCATTCTAGATGATGCCTGCTGGATAGCTGCATTCACATTTATTCAAAGTGGCCCTTTAGTGCAGTTGGCTGCAAGCCAGAAATGATCTGTTAATGTTTTCTTGCTGGCACACTGAGAGAGAACATGTGTGAACACATCATCCCAAATGTATGAGTATTAATAGGCACAGTACCAGCAAAGCACACTGTCGGCTTTCTTTGTAAAATGCTCCCAGTGTTTTGTTGCATTACATGATCAACAATCACATATGTGATTATTTGAGCTTTTCGATGCTGATGCTTCTATTACCAGTTTCAAAGAAGAAGCAGAATTTAGACACCACAAGTGTCTTAGCTACTCACATACATTTCGATTAAGGTGGAAATTGAGTAAATTGGATTTTTCTGGCCTAACTGTTCCTTTAAAAGTTCTGTGTCTAGTCATGCAGACTAAAGGAGGAAATTGTCATTGCCTCTCATCCCAGAATTCACTCTGTGGAATGTGAGGAATGTATGCAGCTGGTGTCCACTTGGGATTGCTTGCGCTCCTCAGCCTCACTGCAGCAGCACAGTCAGATCAGAATTAGTGAAATGGGTGAAATGAGTATAGAATTATTACAGTCATTTTAGGGGGTGTAACAATTCACAAAATTCATAATCCAGTTTGGTACAATACGGTGGCGCCTCGATTCTGTACATTTTTTAGACACAGCAAAGGTAACTGCCTGAAAATCTGCATTATATTAACATGTTTATGTTTCCGCTTCCAGTTTATTAGATGATTTGAGTTGAATAATTTATAATAATGAGTTTACCCTGAGCCAATATGTTAGCCCTGAGGTGATATACATTTATGGGGAGTGTCCTTTTCTTCCCTGCTCTCGATTTTGAAGTAAGCCATATTTTCAGAGTAACTCACCTTCATTGTGAGCTTGCTCTGTTTCATTTTTATTATACTTCATGCAGTATAATCAGTATTAGAATAAGTACTTTATTTGCTCCAGTCCGATAATTATTCATTTGGTGCCTGTGCGTATTAAAATTATAGGCTCATATTGAAGGGCCCATATCATGGAAAACAGTGAGTTTTCCTCACTGTTTTGAAAGAAAAGTGTTTAATGTAGTATATAAATGCAGAACAGCCAATCACAACACAGCTCATTTACATATATCAATCTTAAAGGCATAGCCTGTTTAGTTCAAAGAGATAAAGTGAGGTTGGAAAAGTAATTTTGACTACTTTTGGTACATAAAACCGCATAAACATGATAAATGAAACTGATAAATAAATGAAAGGTGTAAAAAATTAAGAACAGAAAGAAAATGTAGGATATGGACCCTTTAAATTAAACCGTGTGTAACATTATATTGTTATATTTCTGTTCCTTTTAATTGTAGTTACTTAATTACAATTAATTAATTATAGTTTAAAACCGGCATCAGCAGGTTCAAGTCTCACCTTAGGTAAGAAAAGGTAAAGGACGTGTCTTCCAAAGATATGAGTGAATTATCTACTATCGTCATCATCTCTTAATCAGTATAATGTTGATTTTACATTCTAGACCTGAACATCAAGCCGCACCTTATTTTTGAGCCTGTGCCTGTGGCGTTAATACATCAAGATGCATGGCGTCGTCCAAAAAACTCCCAACCCGACGCCTCTGACGTTTAAATGAGTACTTCAAGGCTTTACGGTGCAGCGCAACGGTTTTACCAACGGTTTTGCACAGACTACAGTTTGTTTTTATAATGTAAATATGTTGAATTCATCAAACCAAACAGTAATTGTGCGTTAAATAGTGCAGAAGTGTGTTCTCTGTAGAGGATGTGTTGACTTTCAGTCAAAATCTTCAAAACATGTCATTAGACTAGGGACGCCAGAACTTTTGCACATGATGGTAACAGCGTTTCATAACCATCTGGTGGCTGAGCTCATCCTGAAATGACACACTGGTGCCTATAATGACCGTGGAGTTGTTTTGCAGGGAACTGGGTAATTGTAGCTGACCTATTGTTTTGTTCTATTCACCTTGGTGAAGGTGTGCCTTCAGTTTCTGACCTACTTCAACAATGCTGTAGAGTGATCTCCTCTGGGGGGTTGCCTCGGACTCTTCTGCTGTTTAAAGCAATATTTCACCAAATATTAACAATACTAGCAATGGGCAATCAGGTCCTTGGGGATCCCATTTGGCATGTTCTTCTTCACATGCTGCTAACTTCTGTTCGCTAGCCTAGTTAGCAGCCAGTATTTAGAATTCAAATTTCCATCAACTTCCATTCAGTTATCCACAATAGCTTTTGTATCTCTCTCAGGAGCTGAAGGGCCGGTTTCTGATCAAAGGGAAGCGGCTGAACAAGCTGGAGGCCTCGTTCTCAGACCAGGCCGCTGCCGAGGAGGAAGAGACTGTGACGGAGGAAGAGGACTGTCGTGATGATGAAGAGGAGAGTGAAAGGAACTCGTCTAAGGTAGACGCTGAAATTATGTCCTCATAGTGATTCAGTTCAGTTACAGTTCTTGCGGACGATGATCCGGTGCATTGTAGGGTCGTAGAATTCAGCACGATTACATTCGATTCGATTGGTTTTTGCACAATTGACAATTGTTTTTAAAAAACAGAATTATTTTTCAGATGTGTTAACTTGCTAACAAAAGCTCGAGGGCTGCCTCCCTCTGTGTATCACCCTCATCTCCTCCTCCTTTTCCCAAGCTCCTCCCTCGACCTGTCTCATTCCTTGTTGCCACCTTCCTTTTGTCTTGCCTTCCAAATTAGTGTGTCCACCTGTGTTTCGTACAGGTTGGACTTACGTTGGCAATGCTTTGTGTGCGTGTTTGGTTTTCTTGCATTAGTTCATGGGGCTTATTTCACAAAGCAGGATTTCTTCTTTAGCCAGATATCCTTAAGCGTAGTGTGATCTAACCTGGGGATTTCTGTCTCATGACGGTTGATGATGTTTTATTGGGGAACTTATGCAGCACACTGTACTTGTTCCAAAACAGATTAAGTTTGGGATTACAGATTATAAACCAATCAGGGCAGAGCTTCAGATCAATGAAGGATAGACTTAGGGTTCTTTTGTGGGGTCAATCCAGCAGAGGAAACCACCATCATAAAACTTCATTAACTGATGTTTTGTGAAGCTGAAACAGGAACCATGTCGAAATTGAAACTCTGTCTAAGGTGAACGTGCTTCATGAAACAGGGTCCTGGTCTGTATCATAGCCATGTATCATGTATCATACAATTAAAGAACCCATACAGACCTGTGTGCTTTTGTGCTATATGCTATTGTATTGCTTGTATACTAGGGGTGTCATGATGCGCATGTTAATATATATATTATGTTACCGGGAATGGTTTCTAATGGTTTCAGTTCTGTTTAATACAGTCCATCATATTCCTGAAAGTGGTAACCACAAACATAAAAAACTCCACTGGACAGCTTTCAGAACTGTACACAAACTGGTTTGGTTAGCCTACCTTGGATAGTTGATTAATGAAGCCTTTTGAAATGAGGACAGTAATGATGGACAGAATGGAAGACAGACTGATGACAGTGCACTGACATTGCTTAACCTCTTATAAATGGCCAGAACCCACCGGGAAGGCCATTAAGTGCTGGTTCTGGATGGCCGAAACAAATAACTTGCTCTGTAGGGATGTTAAAAGCTGTGGTTGTGCACCTCTATTCAGTTGTGGAGTCTGCAGTTCGCTATATATATATGACCTGTAAAGCTCATCATGGTTGAGATGTAAATTTATAGTTTACATTTGTTGCTTATTTTTATATGGATAGTTCACTTTTGTGTGTATTGTGTTTCATTTATTTCATGTCCTCTAAGAAAATGACTTCAAAATAAATATTGAAGTTTTGTCAGAATTTCTTTACTTATTCTGTATCGAAAGTGTATCATGCAAAACAACGATACATATCGTATCATGAAATTTGCGTATCGTTACACCCTTAAATGTATGCATATATACCAGCGTATACCAAGCCGGTCCTCAGGGTCCGCCAGGCGGTCCACATTTATGCTTCAACCTGACTACCAATACATAGGGATGAAGGAAAAACATGGACTGTCTGGATGACCCTAAGGACCATGTTGGGAAACACTGATTTATGCAGTTTACTCACTTTGTGCTACTGACTCCAAAGAGCATTATCAGCATCATTCATTTTGAACTATGTATGGGTTTAGAAATCAAAGACGCTGAAGCTAGCCAAAGAGCTCTCGGACATCATCATCTACTGCAAAAGCGTCAAGTTCCAAGGATTCGAACACTCACGGACCCACCAGGCCTTTTATGAGATGTGCTCTTTTAAAGAGGGGGACGCGTTGAAGTTTGCAGAGAAGTCTGGTAAGAGCTGCTGAAAAATAGATCCCTAAAACGGTATCAGTTACTGCTTCATTCACACACAGAGATGTACAGTTGAATGCAAAAGTATGAGCACCCCTGGTCAAATTGCACATTGGCCATATTTAAGTGTATTTTCATCACAAAGCATGTGGATTTCCAGACTTTTGTGTACGATTGTAGTTTTACTATGCATAACCAATCGACTGTTTTGCAGCAAATGAGTACATTCACCATAATCTGGACAAGCTGAGCAGAATTTACCCGTCGGCATACAGAACCGATTCCTCCAACTATGACCCGGTGCCTCTGTGGAACGCAGGCTGCCAGATAGGTGAGATTAAAAAGTATTGAAAAATAAATAATAGCAATTATATAAACAAAGAGGGAATTTTCATTGCCTAATCATGCGTTACAAGTCTGAAACACACTACCTTTATTTATTTTTAACAAATACACAGCAGTTGTTTCATCACACGACTGTCAGATGTCTTTATTATCGTTGTGTGTTGTGTACCCTTTCCTTCAGTGGCCCTCAACTTTCAGACGCCAGGCCCAGAGATGGATCTGAACCAAGGCCTGTTTGGCCGGAACGGGCTGTGTGGCTACATCCTGAAGCCATCGTACCTCAGAGATAAGGCATCAGAGTTCGACCCCATCACTCTGACCAGAGGACCATGGCTCAAACATAAGGAGCTTCATGTGATGGTGAGCAAATGTGATCGGCCTCTAAAGTCAAATTTATATTGGCACAGTTTTCCCTTTATCCCAAATGTAGTCAGCCAAGACATGTTTGGTGTCCAAAGCTGGCTTCATTAGTAGAACTATGAGGCTAATGTTGCTGACACATAATGGAAGCTTAAAAATTCTTGTTATCACACATTTGCCTCATAGAGTTTCGTGCAGTTGTTTGGTAATTTCACACAGACTTGCTGATGTGGTTCCTAACAATGCATGTCACACTGGTATCTTAAAAAGGGAAAAGTGGAGCAATTCAGGCAAAAACGTACAACTGTGCAATGCACTTTTGTCAGTTTTGATAGAGACCAGTATGTCATATAGTGTCTGAAACCTCATAGGCAAGTCTATTTGAGATTACCTAAAAGAGAATTCCACTTATTTTTTACACTTTCTGCATAATTTAGTCATTCAGATGTAAAGCGCTTCTGTCGGAGCCAAAGCTGTTATCTAGAGGGCTGCACTCCCACGGAATATTTTGTGGTGCAGGACTAATGTTCAGTCTTGCGTGCAAGTGTGGGCGGAAACCAGCCCACTGCAGGCGGGAGTGGCCGAGGCACGCATGAAGAGAAATCCTGCAAGTTAATGAACAGCCCTAAATAAAGTCATTCTAAAAAGCTGTGAAGCAACTACATAGCAACAGCATACAAATTCTTGTAGCTTACAGATACGGCGGAGCCTTTAATCCGATGGCCACTGCTGCCGAGCCCAGCAAAACACTAAAAATAACCACTCTGTGGTTTAATTCCTGCTTTGTTTTTACTGGGAATACATGTTGTTCGGTGAAGTTACTTCACATTGAGCTTGATGATCATGACTGCCGTGTTATTTCAGCAGAGAATAATGTATTTGTGAATAGACTGTGTCAGATATGGGGTGTCAGTTCACCATGACAGAACTGTGCAGGCAGGAGCGGGACAAATGATTCTGATTTCTGTGGAGGTGTGTGGGAGCAGGACTGAAAAAATAGTCCTGCACAGACCTCTACTTTTTCCAAGTAAGGGCTGTTTTTTTTTGGTCCATTCATCATGACATTTACACACTATGTAAAGGAAATCAGGCATTTTCAAATTATGCCAGAAACTGAACTACAAAAATAGAGATAGGTTTTGTTTTGATGGCAGCAAAAGTCATTTAGAGTGGTTTGATGTAAAATGGTTGATTGTAGAGAGACTTAAGTCTGATTTCCTTACAGTGGCGGTGATAGGAACCAGGGGTTGTAACATTGGCAGTCCAAATATAGCCACTTTATTTACACAAAAGTGAAACTATGTTTGTCTTCTGAGTTTTTCTATATAACGTTAGTAATGATAAAACAGTGGTGAATTTGGAAAAGAAAACACGATTCTTTGGGATTATTCTACCTTACGATGCCAATACCTCTTCACCCTCCACATTTAAGGCCATAACCTTATCACAAAACCATCATAAAACAATGTCTCAGACATGAGGCAGTGTATTCATGAACACTGAATGTCATAACTTTGTGGGAGGGAGCTTTTGGAGGTGTTAAACTCTTCAGATGTCTGCTTCCTGACACCACCACTCTGAAAAATTTTTCTGTAGAACGGAATATTTCACATCAAGCCACTCTGAACGACTGTTTACATCTTAGCCATTTAATTATGCAGACATTTTGAAAAATCAGTGAACAGTTTGACAACTCAGTGCTGTTTAAAGCCTAAACCAGGGTTCTACAACCAACATGTGAGCCGCTTTCTAAAAGTGAAACTTGTTTTGGGTACACAGGATTAACTAGTGACACAGATCTCATGCTGGAATGTTAATGATGTTTATGTAATGTATCTGAACTGTTGCCTATTTATTTTCCCCTCCACCCAAAACCCCCTCCACCCAAACCCCCCCTCCACCCAATCCGTTTGCATGCAATAAATTGAGTACTGAGGTTTGTGGTTCAGGCGGCGGTATTAATTACAATGCCTTTGGAATGTAATGAATTATGTTTCAAAATTTGGTAACACTTTCTATGAATGTCACCTTTGTAAGCATCTATAAACACATTCATAACATGTTATAATGCATTCATAAGACATTATAAACATAGCTATAAATATTTATAAAAAAGCATTATATGTTATAGCCATGTTTATTATGCATTATGAATTGTTAACGTAATACATAATAAGTACTGATCATAACAAGTTATAAGAGCTCATAAGTTGTATTTGTCCGCCAAGTAAAGTGAAGCATACTGTACTAAAGCCTCCTCCAGTGTTAAGAGTGAGGCTTCAAGTTGAAGTATTTACTGAGGAATTTACTGAAACACTAAAACATACACAATAAAGCACATTACAGGCTTCAAATGTCAGAGTTTAAACTAGTGCTGCCATCAGTGTTTTACCCAATGTTGGAAAGGTAATGTACACCACCGTTAGCTTGGTATTTGTCTTTACTTTACACTCTCCAAGCTGGGACTGACTTCTTTGGCATTGACATTATAACATGTTATTAACATTATTTATAGTGCATTATATTAACAATTCATAATATATAATAAGCATGGCTATAAAGTGTAATTCAGTGTAATTCTTTTTTATAAATATTTATAACCATGTTTATAATGCCTTATGAATACATTATAACATATTATAAATGTGTTTATAGATGCTTACAAATGCGACATTCATAGAAAGTGTTACCCAAAATTCCTCAAAAGCTGCTCATCAGTATGAGTTACTACTTGGAGACCTATGCACTAGAGAGTTGAAGATTATGAATGCCTTCTGAGGAGGTTAGCTTTTTGAAATCATGGTTTTATGATATAAACGTCATTGTTTCATTAAGCTATGATTTCACTCCAAAATGTTGTCATGAATTTAAGCTTTTAGTCTTTAATGCTTCAGTTTAATATGCTTTGTAACTGATTTGGTTTTCCTTTGAGTTGTATTTGAAACATATGAAAAGTACTAAGTAAACAAACCTATTTTTGTTTATCTTATTATGCTGTAGGTGATCTCAGCGCAGCAGTTACCCAAGGTGAGCCAGAAAACGGCCTCTATAGTGGACCCTCTGGTGCGAGTGGAGATCCACGGAGTGCCAGCAGATGAAGCTGAGAAAGAAACGCGACACATTCAGAACAATGGTACTGTACCTTTTCACCACCACTTCTGCTTTTAGTGCTTAGACAGTAATGAACACTGCCGGTAGTGTGATATGGCTCACGTAATAAATATTACAAGTTGAACAGTGTTTACTGATTCCTTAAAATGAAATTATGATCCTTATATGCAGTGAAAATATGTTGGGTAGAAATCTGGTCTGACAAGTCGGCAATGTCAGGAGGCCAAGAGTCAAGCAATGTAAATGCAAAACTAATGTAAGACTAACAAAGTTTGCCTACAATTATCATGATCTTATTGTCATAATGACTAATGCTTTATACGTATATATTAAAATACAAACACAAATAATACACTTTGTATCACCATAAATTATTGGCTACTATAGTGATTTATGGGACTATATTAACAGCAACTGTAACATAACAATTGTAAAAGTAATGCAGCTCAGTTGCCTGTGATTTACTGTAAATTTGCCTAGGAGAAACTCAACTTTCAGAAATACGAATGTCTATTAATAACTGTTATGTTAATAAATTATTATAGTACAATAAATTCATGTTAAAAATGATTGCATTTGTAAAACAGAGTCAGGACTTCTGTCTTTTTGTCATTACTGAATATAACTTATTAAAACAACAATCTATTTTGGGGTTAATTTGAGTTTTTAAATGTATTAGAGTAATTGCAAATATGTGGCTCAGCCTTTCTGAATGAAACGACATGTGGGTTAACTGAATATAATCACGTAATGTTGATGTAAGTAAAAGTCAGTGAAGACAACTGTTAGCCCAGGGATTTGGCTAAGCACTGATTCAAAATGCCAGACTTTGTTTAGCTAAAACTTGGCATGTGTGTCCACTTCAACAGCCAGTCTGTCTTAGCTCACAATGACGGTACGTTATCAAAAGTGTGAGTAACGTCATGATTTTACAGCCTTTTCATTAACTACACCTCCTTGTTTCTACACTCTGTCCATTTTATCAGCTCCACTTACCATATAGGAGAACTTTGTAGTTCTACAGTTACAGACTGTAGTCCATCTGTTTCTCTGCATACTTTGTTAGCCCCCTTTTACCCTGTTCTTCAATGATCAGGACCCTCACTGGACCACCACAGAGCAGGTACTATTTGGGTAGCAGATCATTGTCAGCACTGCAGTGACACTGACGTAGTGGTGATCTGTTAGGATCTGACACTGCAGTGCTGTTGGTGGTTTTAAACACTGTGTCCACTCACTGTCCACTCTATTAGACACTCATACCTTGTCGGTCCACCTTGTAGATGTAAAGTCAGAGATGATAGCTCATCTGCTGCTGCACAGTTTGTGATGGTCATCCTCTAGTCCTTCAGCAGTGGTCACAGGGTGCTGCCCACAGGGACGCTGTTGGCTGGATGTTTTTGGTTGGTGGACTATTCTCAGTCCAGCAGTGACACTGAGGTGTTTAAAAACTCCAGCAGCACTGCTGTCTGATCCACTCAGACCAGCGCAACACACACTTAAAACATCACCACCACGTCAGTGTTACTGCAGTGCTGAGAATGATCCACTACTCAAATACTACCTGCTCTGTGAGGGTCTTTGGGGGTCCTGACCACTGAAGAACAGGGTGAAAGGGGGCTAACAAAGTATGCAGAGAAACAGATGGACTACAGTCTGTAATTGTAGAACTACAAATTGCTCCTACATGGTCAATGGCGCTGAAAAAATGGACAATGAGTGTAGAAACAAGCAAGTGTATTTAATGAAGTGGCTGGTCAGTGTAGAAGCTTAGACACTGAGAAAACTATGCCAACTATTGCAAGCTTCAAAGCCTCTCCCTGAGGAAGTACAAGCATGGTCATCTAGTTTGGTTTTCATTACTACTAATAATTTCTTTATAATTTCATTTGAAATGTATTTGCCTTTCCATACTATAACTGTGTTTTAGTTTTTTGAAATTATTTTTGGTTATATGGTTCAGTGATGGTTATGTACATTGTATCTCCTCCAGTAATGCCTCTAATATTTGCAGTGTCAACAGAAATGTTTGCATGTGACCAAGTTCCTCATTATTCTAAAAGTGATGAAGAAACAAAAATGGGCCTAATACTGTTCCTTGAGGATCACCACTACTGGTGGTGACAGTTTAAACACAATAAGGTTGTCACCCTCATTATTTTGATGCTTTATCAGGTACTTGGGTTTTATACTTTATTGGGAAGAGATCAACTGTGATGCCTATAAAGATTTAATAAAAAAATTATATATATAAAGGAACTACAAAGAATTTAAAGGCATGTGTCCATCAGGCTTGGATTCTTACTGTAAGAGAGGCCAAGAGAATTTAAACTACACAACCTTATGCAAAAGCTTGAGTGCCCTGATGAAATTACGTTTTTTTAATTTTTTAAGTGAAAATAAAATATCCGCACTTCTGCACATTTGAGTGCACAATTTCCGATTGTTCGCTCAACTGAACATATTGAAAAAAAAACAACAAAATTTGGCCTATACGAATGTTATGGCACATTTTATATTTTATGGTTTTTTTTTGTTTTTTTTTTCAATATGTTAAACTCAGTAAACAAATATGAAACAGTGCACTAAATACCATATATAAGTAGAGGATGTTTTACTTCAACTTTATACAAAACATATCATGACCAGGAGTGTTCCACTGTACTTTATCTTTGCTAAAATTGCCAACTTATCATTGCAGAATCAAGAAGGTGCATTTTAATAGATTGTTTTTGTTGAGTAATCTTAGCAGCGCTAATGTACAAAATGAGGCCTTTTTCCAGGTGTCAATGGATGTTGCAAAGGTTTTGCATTACAAAATCAGGCGTTTTTCCAGGTGTGTTAATGTCCCGAAGGTGTTATTTTACATATTCTTCTCTCAGTTTGTTTACCTAAGTGCAGGGACGTGTCTCAGTTGCTCCTGTTTAATGTGCCTTTATAATTCGAGACTATGTTTATGAAATGAACATCTGAAATCCATAGCTCTGGGTCATTTTGGCACAAGCATGAGGTGTTTTTCCCTGTGAATGGGCTGATTAAAGAGAAGGACAAAAGCACGAAGTAACAAATGTACTACTTCTCTTCATGAAAGGCTTCAACCCCATGTGGAACGAGAATTTCCAGTTCGACTTGTATGTGCCTGAACTTGCGCTGGTGCGCTTTGTTGTGGAAGACTATGACGCTGTATCCAACAACGATTTCATCGGCCAGTGCACGGTCCCATTCACCAGCCTACAGAGCGGTCAGTACGCTTACCTTCGTAACAGCCTCACCCCAGCATGGCTGATTGAGACTGTCTACATTTTTCCTGAAATGATTGGAATATGTCTGTATTGGTTATGTTTTTTGTTTTTTTGGGGAGAGGGGTGTCACAAAATGGAATAATACATAGTTTATATGATATGGAAATAGAACAATACATTGTGTTGCTCAAGTTGGAGTCGTCACAAAAACTGGAAGTAACTGAAATAACAGAGAACACAAGTTACAAAAATAGCAAACCACAAAATAATGTCATGCGTGCTAAGAGATAATGCAGTGTGGTGTATTCCTCAGTAGCATTAAAGCAACACAACAAAAGCTCATTCTTATGGGTTGTTTCAGTTGCCAAAGCATTTTCATCATGCTATAATCAAAAAAGGTCACTAACTTATCCTAGATAGACATTGTTCTCACAGACGTTGGCCCTTATTCATCCAAGTTGCGTACAAAGTCTTATTGTACAATGACTGCACGCAGATTTCACTGAGAGTTTTGTTATTTTTCAGTTTCATCTTTGGCGTTTGTGTATGATGAGACTGAAATTGAAAAATGTGTAGTTAAATAATCAAAACGACTGTCAATAACATCAAGGATATCAGCAAAAACAGTGAAAATAGAAAATGATGGTACTAATAACTGCACATAGCCAATCCTTGTTCTAATGTGGATGTACTCATTTTTTTTACATGCACACTGATGTAAAATGTGACATGTTGCATTTAAAGACTTTTGCTTTATACCACTGAAACAGTAAATAACTACCTCTCTAAAATACAAAACAAAGCTTACCTAGTACAGCAGAAGCCACTTAGAATACTGCAATGTTGTCACTTAAGCAGCCAGTGAAAATATTCACCCTATCTGGAAAAAAGGGCTACAACATTTTGTTGATTTCACAGTTCATTCTTTTCAATTGTTGTAATTTTATACTTTAAAACAAATTAAATTTTGGACAGTTTGGATGCAGCGCACATCCTGCTCGACCCCAAACCCCACCAATGAGGACATGGGTCTGATGAATGCTTTTCTATCACTGGCTCAATAGGGAAATGCCTGCATCAATTAGAGCTGTATATAAGAGGAAAAATGGGGGGGAAAAAAAAGATACTCATGCAGATTGAAGCTGATTCATCAATTTTGCCCAAATCACCATGTTTTTCTGCTGTAGGATAGTTTCCTGAATCAGACACTGAGCAGTTCATGCATCATTCAGGACAGTCAAATCTGTGCTCATTTCTATGCAATTTTGATGAAAAAGGGCTGCTGTCATTAAAAAAACATCTTGGAATTTAGAAGAGAAATGTGATTTGTTTCTCTTTAATTTGACCTCTTTGTTGGTTTCATCTGCAGGATATCGTCATGTGCCTCTGTTCAACAAGAATGGGGACCTCCTTTCCTCAGCTGGACTTTTTGTTCATACAGTGGCTGTAGATGCCGAATAATCAAGCCATTTGCCCACTTCTGGTTCCCAATCCAGTTCACATTTTTGTTCCGTAAAGACTTGAGCCGGGTGATCAAAGGCGCTAAAAATACTGATCACAGGCCCAGGCGTGTAAGAGCTGGAACAGAACAAAAACATGAACCTTCAAGGACTGGACTGGAGACATCAGTCTTATGCCATGCACCACTGTAGACATCAGAGACATTCTATGGCTTTACCCCCTTTCAGCACATCAGCCATTGATCAAGCGGCTGTCAACTGTTAAGTGTTAATAATACACTTTGTGTTAGTAATGTTAGTAATACACTGAAAGGACAGGATAAGCTAGTACACTGGTTTAAGAGTCTGCAATATATGATAAAGTACCGTTTAATAATTTAAACTTTCAAAACAAACTACAAAGCTTAATTCCAAAAAAGTTGGAATAGTATGTGAAACGCTAATGCAAAAACACAATATTTTATGCTTTACCTGTTGAACTTGCCTGTAACAAGTACAGACAGGCCAGTCTATTTTCTTCTTTGGTCCAGAGAACATGACGTCCATTATTTCCATAAACAATTTCAAAGGTGGACTCATCAAACCACAACAGACTTTTCCACTGTGTATTAGTCTATTTCAGATGAGCCCAGAGAAGTTGGCGGTGTTTCTGGACACTGCTGACACGTGGCTTCTGCTGTGAATAGTACAGTCTTAACTTACAGCAAAGAAGGGTGTTTAATGACAGTAGTTTATCAAAAGCTATGTTAAGACTGCTACCCCAAATCTGATTTTTGGCATATCCAGGTGGTATCCAGATTGATTTTTGATAGTCTGGACAGCTGAAAACCACATGAAATCTGATTTTTGCAAATCAGCTCCAAACCACATGTGGATGTGGTTTGAAATGCGATTCCAATCAGATTTTTACAGATGCGTCTCAGTCTGGACCCTCTGGCCGCTCAAATCAGAATTCAAAGTGTCTTGTGTGTCACTCGCAATGCGACAAACGACGACGTCAAAGCGAGAGTGTTTTTAACGCAGTGCCGTTCGAGGCTCAGTCGCTCGTTAAGAAATGTTGTTCTTAAATTGTTGGCTTCTTTTGGCAAAGTGGCGAGCCCCAAAATGCATTCTCGCTCGTAAAGGACGAGGCCGTTCCTGGTTGCTCATTTTATACTAAATGCAAAATGATTTTAATGTTTTTTGGACATTTCAGTCTTCCTAGCTTGAAACTGCTGTGTCTCAACTTTTTTGTTAGATGTTGCAGGCAGCAGTTTCACAATGAGAAGAATGAGCATATAATTACAAAAACCAACAAGGTTGATAAGGTAAAACATTAAAATATCTTGTCTTTGTACTGTTTTAAATACAGGTTAAAATAAATGTTAGTAATAATTGTTAAAAATATTTTTTTGTTGCATTTCACATACTGACCTACCTTTTTTTAATTGATGTTTCTATGTTAAAAAACAAAATACTGGTTGCGCAATGCTTTCAGCTTTAGTGTACTGCTAAGAGGGAACATTGGAGAATAATTGGGAAAAAACTGTAATGCATGTCAGTGAAGTTAAAGGGAAAAGAATACAAAAATAAAAAAGCGAGCTGTAGTCAAGACCACAAGCTGACTCTCCCTGTTTTTTGTTGAGGCGTAAACAACCCCTTTTCTAACACGATGGCATGCAGGAAGCCCATTACTCACTGCATAGACAGAGCTATTCCAAAATAAAAGGGTAAACCTTGTTGTAACAGTCTCGTAAAGACAGTTTTATTAGGACAGTCTTCTCGGCCAGCTTGCGTTCGTATCACTTTGTAATCATCCCCAGATGTTTCCCGTTGGATTATCACAGAACCAGGAAGAAAGCCATTGTGTTCTTCATTGGTAACATTAGTCTTGGCACCTCTTCAAGAATTCTCTAAGAAAAGTGCTAGTTTCTCTCCACTGACGCCATCTGGTGAGCTTAGGGGGTCAAATCACAGAGCAGTATGGGAAAGTAATAGGACGTGCATTAGATATCAAAAGTAGAGTCAACAGAGAATGTGTACAAAAGACGCGTGAGAAACCCCACCCACACAACCATGAGAACATTATTCACTCTTAGTCTTTGCAACATGAAACCACTCCAGGTTCCATTTGTCAGCAGTTAGTAAATTACTGACACAGCCATATTAAGCCCACATAAATTTCTTGCTGCCACAGAACTTTTTCTGCTGCTTCGGAAGACAGTATAGAAAAAACAACTGTACATTAAAGATGACTTCCATCGATTTTCCAAATTTCCTGGATAAATCATCACATAAACATTTCAGTCATTTGGAGTGAAAAGCTCCATTCTAGAGAAAGAGTCAGAATTGCTCGCAGTGGTGGTGATAGGAACCAGATGTCCAAAGAGTTTAATGCCTCTAAAAGATACCTCAAAGAATGTAATCACACAAAATAGTTATAAATACATTGTCTGATGCTGGAGACATTAAGATGGTTTTAGGATGGTTTTGGCCTAAAATGTTTATACATATATATATATATATATAAATGGCTAAGAGGTACATGTAAGCCCTTCTAAGGCAAAGTATTACCCAAAGAAAACTTATTTGATCATATTTACCACAATTTTATCGTTATCAACATTATACAGGCCTATAAAAACTTCAAAGTGTAGGTTGACCGGTCATTTTGGATACTAAATAAAAGGACTATATTTGGACTGTACACATCACAACCCTTGGTTTCTCACACCACTATAAAAAGCTGGAAATTTGAATGGCTGGAGAATTTCATCAAAACACTCTGAATTTCTTTGTTTACATCTCAGCAATTGAATTATGCAGAAATTTGAATAAATTGGTGGAATTCCCCTTTACATGCAAGTGTGCACAACACACAGGCTATGTGGGCTAAAACTAAAAACTCCGACTATTTCAAGACACAATTAAGGTTGTAGTTGGCAGCTGTGGCCTCAAGGGGGAGACACAAGCTTTAGGAATTTTAAATCTTACACCACCCACCCAAACCACCCCACCCATTTCTTTTAATGTCCTTTTATGTTTGTGCGTTTATGTACAGCAGTCATAATTAATTTTACACAACCATTTTCTCTCTTTATCTCTTAGAATTAAATATGATGTTTTTGTTACTGTGTCTGTAAGACTGATATGTATGTAAATTAGCTTTTCTCTAATTGGCTGACCTGTATTGTTCATTCCAGGCTGAATCACTCCTCATAACTCCTCATAACAGCTTAAGTAGGCAGAGCTAAACTGCTGTAGGCTGAATAGGTGGATATGTAAACTAGTTGGTTCTCATAACATCACAGAAACAGTGAAATCAACAGTTTACACACTGTTTACTACATACTACATTAAACTCTTCAAAAAAGTGGTTTTACACGTAAATAACAAAGTCCAGTTATTCAAAATAATAATTACTTAAAATGTAAGTACCAGGTAGCCTCTCTTTTGGAAATCATATTACTATCCATCTGTGTTGCCTTCACTATTCCAGAATCACGCTGACATGAATTGTAATAAATTACGGCTGGTCAATGTGAAAAGTAAAATATATAAACCCAGCTCCAAAAAACAGTGAAACTGATGAATGTTGAATTAAGACTGAAAGTCATTTCTTTTTCTTAAAAAGGTGCTTTAATATAACATCATAGTCTGGAAGAAAATTTTGCAACAAACCATGGATCATATCACCTCGAAACATACTGCAAATGTGACACAGCACAGCCCCTTGTTACTGGTTTCTAACTGCAGTGATCGCATTCGACTTGTCAACACGTCTACATGGCTTTCCAAATAGGAAGAAAGAAAGAAATTTAAAAAGATCTAAAAGACAGAACCCCAAGTGGATGTAATGCTTAGCGATAATACAAGTAATGTTGACACCCCAAGTAATCGTGCCAGTAATTGTTAGTGAAAAACACCTGCTGGAGAAACAGAACATCCTCGACCAACACCAAAGTGCTCCAACTGCGAAAGGTCATTTAACATTAGGAGAAATGAACGATACAATCGAGAAGAAATGCAATCGCGGTCAGTGAAAGTAAAAGGATAAAAATCTATTCTTGCTTCTCAAATTCTACACTGTGAGAAGACCATGATTATCTAAAAATTGTCAGATCTGAAACCAGAAACCGCACAAGGAGCTGCACGGAGCCGAAACAGGAAGAAACAACAGCAGCAGGATAATATGGATGTTTAACATTTTAAACCAAATACTGACAGATTATCATAATGAAAACAATGAAATACTCTCTTGCCTTGGGTGCAGAGATTAGAGAAGGATGGAGAGAGGTAGCGCAAAAAAGGGACAAACTATCAGAGAGAGAAAGTGAAAGAAAAAACACTGACAGGTCGTAGAGAGTGAAGTGTGGCGTAGAAGAAAAGACAGAGAGGTTATTGCGTGCTTGGCGGCATTTCTCCATAAGCCGCAACTGCTCCTCTCCTAGGCACCGTGGTGAAGGAGGCTCCACACATACAGCGCACCCAGAGCCGAAAAAAAAAAAAAAACCACACCTCTCTTTCAAAAACCCACGTCCTTTTGAGGGCTGCACTCATCTGGAATCTACGTTTCAGCAAGAGCCTACACTCCAAACACCTCTGAATGGCCCCTTACTCCAACTAAAATGTTCTGGACACCTGAGTGCATGGTGGCGAACTGCTCACGCTGGCCTTGCAGGGCTCGGTTATCACCTTAACTTTCGCCGGTTTCCCCCCCGACACGAACCACACGCTTCTCCGGCGTCTGTAATGTACTGGAATCTGCTGTGCGCTAGCAGCAGCAGGTCCTAAACAAATTGAAAAACTAAAAACAAAAGCGAATCTCATACAGGTGGCTCAAACTAACCACATTCAAGAAAAGTTACTACAACAAACAATGAAATTGATAAAAAGAATAAAAGAAATACATTTGCAACTGTGCATCCTGAGAGGAAAAGGATGCTTCCCCATTTAAGCAGACTTAAAGGGGGCGGGGCAGGGGCAGGGCTTAAGCTGCATGGAGTCTAAGCTATACCACCGAAGGCAGACTGTTTAAATCACCTCTTTAAAATGCACTCTAAACACATGAACTCTAAAATTCAACATATGACTCTAACTTGCTATAATCTCTGGATGAATGCTGAAATGGCCAGACGCTATTGTCGACGTGTGCCGTACCGATTTCTACCCTACATTTCAACACTAAGTTCAGTGGACCCACATGCTGATGACGAGCCTCAGCAAGTGAATGGCATAAAAATGGGGTGGAAACAACCATCCGTTGGCACAGTACAATCTTCAGTCTGAGATTGTTGCTCATCATCTTAAAAAGAAACAAGAAAAAACAAGTAGCTCCAACAAGTGCAAATGTATTCCTTTGCCCTTTAAGACAAACAAATATGCACGTCTATAAAGAATTAACGATAAAGACCATGTCTATATGATGGCACAAGCTAAAGCAAAAGAAAACAAGAACACAGATGGAGACATTTATCCATAATTAAAAAACCCTCTGGCTTCGGTAACAGTGCCTTTACAAAAAAAAACGCTTCTGACTTGCCGCTGCTTTAAAGAGTAGAATTCTGGAAAAGACTCTCTGGAAATATGCCATGTACAAAAACATGCCCCCCCCAACCTCCCCCCATAAAAATGACATTCAAAAAAGGCACTTCGTTGGGCAAGCGAAGAAAAAAAACCCACAGTCCTTTAACTTCTACAGGCCATCGAGCCTGCCTGCATAGCAACAACCCAAAGATCTGCGCTTAGAGTCTCTCATTTCAAGGGAAAAAAAAGGAGTTGGTGTTTTTGGTTTATTATTAAGCACTTAATATGAGAGCCAAATGTGGGTCTCTTGAGAAGAAGGTCCATGTGTAGTGGAGTTTTCATCACACTGTATGGGTCTCCCTGGTGGGCTGCAGACAGTGGTCTGCTGTTCCTGTGTAGTAAGCAGTGGGCTGCTGTTAAGTGGTGTCTGGGAGAGCAGAGGATGGAAGTAATCGCCCCGTCGCCCTCTGTCGGACCACTCCACTGCACCCCCTTAAGGCTGGGCAGCTCAGCTTGCTACCTGGCTCTGAGGTTCTGCAGAACTCCATACACGTCCTCTTCTTTGCTCAGTC